AATGTGGATGAGTGTTGGGTGTGGATGGTGGAAGTTGTTATCCAAAACATCTGGAAGGCTCCAGGTTGGCCAAAACTGTAAAATGTGGCCTGAAACTGCACCACACGGTTCTCCTGATTGTTTTCCAGCTGCTAGCTTGGATTGGAAGTACAAGAAGCAGGCATTTAACAATGCTTTCCACTTTTGGTCAAGCACAAGTGGCCTTGATTTGAAAGCCAATGGCCTGTCTAAAAACTTCTAGTGATGGGGAGTGCATTCTTATACTAGCTAACCATCTTTTGCCAAGTTGATTAAATTTGTGATTCAAGTAGAGTCAAGATCTGAAATTGCAGTTCTTAAGATTTATTTTTTTTTATAAAAAAGAAACACTCCCCAAGCTCTTACACTGTTCGCTTTTTAAAACAACTCCCAATCTCTTGTGGTTTCTAGGTTAGGTTTATTTTGAGGCAGAGGGATGCCAAAACACTGTGCCCCAGCTGGATTCTATGATCGCTTGATGTGCTTTTAGCATTGTACTTTTCCCTTTAAGTAAATACTGGATTTTTTTTTAAAAAAGAAGTTTCCTTCGAGACCCTGAGGAATTACAAACAACTTCAATAGGAAGATGGTATCTAGAAAGCTGCCCATGTCCTCCTCTCTGCGGTCTGGTGGCACTGAGTCAGTTAACAAAGGGCCTCTACATCTGCAGCCTTGCAGATTACAGGTGTCAAGAGGCTGCAACAAAATTTTGTAAGCATCCGACTAGTAGTAATGAGGATGTTGGCACTATCACGACTTAGGTTGTGATAACTGAAGCACTGCACCCTATATGATGTAAACCTCTGTGGCCAGGTTAGTGCTGGCAAAAACCTTGTGCATGTTCATTTAATTTCAAATAGCAGTTTGATAAGTGAGAGAGAATTTTGCTTTGGATCTGCATTAGGCTTTAAAGCCACAAAATGTCTCTGTCACATTATGGCGATATGATTTTTAATTTGTTGTTTCAAATATATCCCCCCTCATTTATACTTCCTCATAGATTACAACAGCAGTGACCTAAAAACAGCTTGCAGAAAGCATGAACTTTATGTTAGCTTCCAAGACTTGGGATGGCAGGTATGTGGTGTTTCTATGTCCATAAACATGCTCTGAAAACAATGCTCAGAACACAAAAATAGTTTTTTCTCCCCACCAGACTGAGTTCTGTGTTAGCATATCTTGGAAGAAAGTGGTGCGAAGGTCTACTTCCATTGAGTTACCTTTTCTTTCAGATGTTTATTTTGTATTCAGCTTTAAGTAGATAATCACATTTTAGTATGTGGAGCACAATTCCATAGGCTCACCATCAGTGTTTTTAAGCTTCACACAATTGTCACTAAAGATGGCTTCCACCATTTTAAATTACCTTTTTTAAAAAAATGTTTCTATTTATGTGGCTTATGTTGCTGGTTCCTTTAACTTTAGCAGCCAAAATCACTATAGCAGTCATGGAGAATGAGATCTCTTTCTTCTATCCTCTTTGCTCTATTGAACCCATGTGTCTTCTAATGTACATAATTATGGTCTAATGTTTAACACAATGTGTGTTGGCTAGTCCAGTCATAAGGCTTTTTTGAACACAGCTTATAAGTGCTGCATGGTTCTTGCTAAAAATGTGGGGGGGTTTTTACATGCTAGTATCAACCAGTGGTTGACTGTCACTGGTTTCACATGTTAAATGGTTCCAACTCTTTAAAACACTTGGAAGCTTCAGTAGATTTGCACACAATTTTGTGCAAGCCCAGATTGCACATACCCTGTAACACCTTTAAAAAGGGGGTTGAAGCATAGTGTGTTGCATCATGAGCTAAACCAAGTGTATAACCCACCACAACCATGGTTTAGTGTGTATTAACTAGCTACAGTAACCATACACTTTGCTTATAAAAATAATGTCGTCAGGTAAGCATTTTAAGAGTATGTTCTGGTTTATGTCTGCTTTTGGAATGAACAGCTCTTTACACATGGGAAAGGAGCTGGCAGATATGAACATATGTGTAGGAGGGGTAGAGAGAATTAAACAGGGCATTGAAACATGCTCCATAGATATTTATAATACTCTGTACCTACAGCCAATACTTGAATACTGAAGCCAGGACATAAGAAACTTGGGTATAAGGAAGTGGTAAGACTCTTCTAACATGTATTCTGTAGTTTGACACAGGGAGGGACCAACCTGTATGCATTTGCAATAGTTATGCTTCATAGATGTAATATTATTCTTATAAAGGACTGGATAATTGCACCCAAGGGCTATCCGGCAAACTACTGCGATGGAGAATGTTCTTTCCCACTCAATGCTCATATGAACGCCACCAATCATGCCATTGTGCAGACTTTGGTAAGTAGAGGCCTTGGCTTAGCTCACAGATGCTGTAAAACAGTTCGTCCTGCCTGGTTTCCTCCCCGCCTCCCACTAACATGGCAGTTTTGAGGAGTAGAGAAGATCCAATTTGTCTCTTTCATATCGGTGGCACAATGTAAGACTGGGTTGTGGGGGTGAGCAATTCATCCAGCATTTTTTGGTTGGGCCTTGGGTGAGTGAGGATGACCAAGGAATTGCACTTGCAGGATGGGAGAGGAAAGCAACTCCAGGATTAGAAATTAGCCCCATTACCTTTTCTATCCAACCTTTCCTTTAATGAGCTGAAAGCAGCTGCTTTAGTCTAATACACTTGGCTAACTGAGTTGGAATTTGATCTGGGATTCTCATGCTGGTGAGAGGAGGCAGAGTTTTTTAAGAGACCCTTGACATACAATGTAATTTCACTTTTCAAAATACTGCCTTCATGCAGCTTATGGGCACAGTACACCTTTGATGCTTAAAAATGCCACTTCCAAGCCCCAATAAATATTTATCTCTAACAGGTAGGAGGCAACTAGGATCATGTTGCATGTGGGGGGATTTAATATTTCCTTGCCCTACCACAGTGCCAAGAAAAACTGCTTAACCTTCCCTAGGTTGCAGGGAAGTTGCCATTGGCATCAGTGGAAATCTACCATGAGACAAAGGGATAAGGAGGATTACCGTATTTTTCACTCTATAGGACGCACCTTGTTTTTTTTGGGGGGGGGACAAGGAAAAAAATTTCTCCCCCTCTCTGCTCAGCGCCCCTTCAGCGAAGCAGCAGGAGAAACGGAGCCCCTTCCATTTTTCCTCCCGCTTGGCTGAGGGGGCACTGCGCAGCTCTCCCTCTCTGCTGAAGCCAGGAGAGTCTTGCTCTCCCAGCTTCAGCAAAAGGAACCTGAAGCCTTCGGAGCGCAGCGGGAACTCGTGCTGCGCTCCAAAGGCTTCAGGAGGCTATCCCTGAAGCCTGGAGAGCGAGAGGGGTCAGTGCGCACCAACCCCTCTCGCTCTCCAGGCTTCAGCGAAAGCAATGCGAAGCCTCTGGAGCGCGGAGGGAGCGCTCCCTCTGCGCTTTGGAGGCTTCACATTGCTATCGCTGAAGCTAAGGAGCCTGCATTCGCTCCATAGGACGCACACACATTTCCCCTTAATTTTTGGAGGGGGAAAAGTGCGTCCTATAGAGCGAAAAATACGGTAATTGAACAATACATTGAGAAGTCTAATCTTTAGGGCACAGAGTTGGCCATGGAGATAAAAAAGAGCCAAGACACTGCCCCAAGCTGCTTGGAGCAAGGCTCAGAAATGTGATAGATTAACAAGTTGGCCTGAAGTTACAAATATCTTTGTCAATTTACTTAAAACAGGTTCACCTAATGAATCCAGAGAACGTTCCTAAGCCATGTTGTGCCCCTACGAAGCTGAACGCAATATCAGTTCTCTACTTCGATGACAATTCCAATGTCATTTTGAAAAAATACAGGAACATGGTGGTAAGAGCTTGTGGATGTCACTGACAAAAAGTTCTCTTCAGAAAGATCTGGTGCGCCATTCTAAATAACTTCCATCCAGTGCCTCAAAGGGAAAAACCTGAAGCTTCTAAGACTGTATTTGTGCCTTAAGGAGGATTTTTTTGGTTGCTGTTTGTTTTTAAGCAGAAGCAGGGGACTCCAATGCTACTTGTCCTTTTAAAGTATTTGCACAATGGTAGCCTTTGGTTCTTCTAATTTCTAAGTACACCAAAGAGGATTATAAAGTATGGACCATGGCTGAAGCAGCAAAGGTACAGACAAAAACCTGCGCGCTGTTTCAATCTTCAATTCCGTTTCTCTAAGCAGGCACCTGCCAAATCCTGGTGGCGATGTCCACAAGGAAAAAACAGAGGCTGTAGCTAAGAAATGAAATGCACTATTCAAGGCAAAAATCTCCATTCTTACATGTAGCCAAACCAAGCTCTCCTTGCTTAACTTTAAAGGCCTGCAAACTGTAGGTGAGAAGGTTGATCGGCAAGGTAAGTGTCTTGTATGAACTGCTGCACTTAGGTTTCTGCAACACACACTGTGTTAAAAGCAAGTTTTGTCCCTTGCCCTTCAACAGGGACATAACTGGCAATGTACCCCTATAGTTATCACAAAAGGAAGTGTTCTAGAGGTTAAATTGTCCCATCAGGCTAACAGGAAGAAGCTTGTACATTTGTTCTAAAGGCAATTTCTATGCTTACATTCCACAGCTCTCCCTCTTGCTAGTTTTGATCCCTCCCCTCCTTTTGAAAGCCTGACTAAAGAGGAAAAAGAGGTGTGTGTGGGAAGGGGGGGGGGGTAGAGGTTGTAGGGCAGACCATGCAGGAGAACTGGTAGATGGCAAGTTACTCAGTCTCACTGACCCAATTAAAAAGCACTCTTCAGATTGTGATCTGGTTGGTCAGGAATAAACTTGCACCTCTCACTTCTGAAAAACATGAATTTAAAATGTATATACAATACTTATTTCTAATGTAAGAGAAAGGTTTCCCCAAGGCAAGGAAAAGTGCACTTCCCTTTGACTACTTTGCTCTTGTAAATAAATGAAAATGATAATTTATTGCAACTGTCTGATATAGTAATTTTGATGTACTATTAGCAAGACCAAGATTTTTTTTTGTAAAAAAAAGATTTATTCAGAAACTGTGTGTGTAAACAATTGTACCACTTGATTTTTACAGGAGTCATGACTTGCAGTTCAGCCTGCTCATGAGATTGTGCTTCATTAGGTTTTTAAAAGTCACCATGTTGAATAAAGGCTCCCTTTAAGGCAGAAACATGTGTGTTGATCTGATACATCTGCCGTATCTCAATTAGCCCTTTCCATTCTTCCTATCTGTTATGTACCCCCTGACTCTACATCCCCCCACCCCCAAATTTGTGCTGGACACATTTCCTGGCCTTCAATAGGAAGGGCAAAAGTACAGTACAAAAATTAGAAATGTAGATATGGCTAATGAAAGTTGCATTGCTCCATCTGCAACAAACAAATGGCAACAGCAACTTTCTACAGAGAAAACATCTAGCCTATGTACATACCTGAAAACTCCCCCAATAAAATGGCAATAAATGTTTATATATAAACCAGATTTTCCCCCCAGCATCTAGTTTGCTGCTGTAGTTTAAGTGTCTATCAGTACCTGCACTAGAAATTCTTTGGCTTTAAGTCTGTCATATTGAATACCAAACTGGAAAGGAGGGGCTAGAGAGAAGCTACTCAGAATGAAAGACCACCTGGAAAAACTTATAGGTAGGTTTTGTTCTTTTGTTTATATTACCTGGAAAGAGGCTCTTTAACCATGATTAATATACTACAGCCTCTGAAGTAACAAAAATAACCCATCTCTAGGTTTTAAAAGAATTTTAAAAATTTGTTTTTTTTAAAAAAAGGGATGGCCGGTCATGATCTGGGTCTGCACAAAAGGAGCCAAATCTCTTTGCAAATGGCTGAACAGAACTATTGTGTCTTTGAGCTGTCAAAAACTACCTGACAAATGGCATGGTTCAATAATAAATGCAGGCACACATAGTACCATTGCTTTTTGTTGTACATCCCTCATGATGAGAGAACACAAAATGACAGCAGTGGTCAGGGGCGTCTTTCCAAAGTGTGTGTGTGTGTGTGTTTGTTTTCCTTTGCCGTTTCTATTGATGAGACATTTAAAAAGCACCGATTTGCCAGAAATAAGGTTTACAATGTGCAGTTTTGCATGTAGTAAGTTTGTAACTTGTGTAAACTGCCATCATCTACCAGGCCCCCTTAATTTTAACCTTTCCTTACTGGTTTTAGATACAAAAAGGCAACTGACTACCAGGACAAAATGGAAGTTCATTAACACAACTAATAATGAAAACTGTTTCCAATTTGAACTATGATTGCTTGTTGTAAGCTTCCCTTAAGCTCAGCACAGTAGGGCTTTAGAGGAAACAAACACACACAGGGATTCCACATTTTAGTACATTCAGTTTCCCAAATGACCACTATTGGAAATCTGGTACCAGCACACCTTGATTCAACTCCCTTGTTTACTGGACAGACACAGCTTGAGGAGCAGTACCCAAACAGACATGTTTTCTACAGTTCATCCTTTGCTTGCCCCAGGACAAAGTTGTGCAGTGTTTCAAGATCTCTGGCTCCAGTGTGCTCAGTGACTTTTTCCCCACCACGGAAAAGCATCAGTGTTGGGTAGCCACGAACCTTCAAAAGGAGAGAAAAGAATGTAGGTGAGAAAGCAACTGCAATCCTGTATGTCCTGACTCAAAAGTAAAAGGCTCTTCCATATGGCCAGTTTATAGTGGGCATGGCACTGCTTGGAATCTCTTATGTTTTTTGTGGTGTTCACACATCATCCTTGCCAACCTGTACTTCCCTCACCCCCTCCAGATTTCCTCTTTAGAATAGCTGAGAACTTAAAACAATCTGTTATATATATTATGGACAGAAGGGAGTTTCAACAGGTGGCCCTCATGTTCATAACATGAGCAAATAGCACAAGACCTGTAATAGGACAGAGTGAGTATTTGGGGTTGCTTAATCTCCTGAGTTGAAGGTATGCTTATCCCAATTGTTCTGTAAATTAAGATAATCTCTCTCTTCAAACATTCTCCACCTTTTAGCTTAAAGCACCTTAAGAACTGCTCGTATTGCTGGGGAGTATCAAATCGGGTTTATTCTCTTCCTTCTGTTTTCAAGCTTCGCCAAAGGCCACACTATCTATATACATTTAAACCACTCTGATACCACTTCAAACCTTTAACGGCTTCCCCCAAAGAATTCTGGGAGGTGCTGAGAGTTGTTAGGAGACCCCTATTCCCCTGTGTGGCTTAGCACTCCATCCCTATTCACAGAGAACTCTGGGAATTGTAACTCTGTGAGGGGAATAGGGATCTCCTAACAGATCTCAGCCCCTTAAATAAAGTGCAGCTCCCAGAATTCTTTGGGGGAAGCCGTTAAGGTTATCATACTGGTTTACACTGGCACAAACTCCTGGGGGCCCAGGCACCCACAAAAAAATTATGGGTACTTGGCACCCAGCCTCACGGGGGCCATGGAAGTCGTGTCTTAAGGCTCTTGGGGGGGGCCTCCCAGGCCCAGACGCTGCTGGGCACCTTAATCTGGGGCCCAATTCAGTGCCAGTGCTGGTTTAAATGTGTAGTGTGCATGTGGCCCAAGAGTCTCCTCCCTCCTCCGGCAGGAGGAACCCGTGTTGCATGGAGGTGTCAGTGATTTGTGAAAAGAAAAAAGCAAGAGGCGGCAGGTATCTCCATACAGCAGGAAGGCTCCCCCTTCCTTGTTGCTTCCTGCTTCCCTTCCCACAAACCTCTCATCAGGACTGATTTGATTCCCCCCTCCTCCTCTCTCAGCAACACAACTGGATTGCAAGGTGCTTTAATTTGAAGTTAAATAACAGCTGGAGATAGCCAGGAGAGAGGAAATACCTTTAACATACAGAGAACACATGCAACTCCCCCAGCCTTGCCAGAAAAGTGGTCCCCATCACTTTGTAGTTTAATTAGGAAAAGGTTTCTGGCCAAGCATGGTCAGAATGAAATGTATTCAAGGAGCTTGGTCATGATCAAGGCTACACTGAGAACTCTGTATGTGCAGTGGGGCTTTGGAGATTACCTCCTCCGTTTTCAAAGTGTCCCCACAGCGTCCCAAAACCCACGCCCTAAGTTCAGTACAGTAGTACCTCCGGCTACGTAACCCTCTGGTTACGTAAAGTTCGGGATGCGAAAGCAGCAATCCCGGAAGTATTTTACCGGGTTTTGCTTCATGCGCAGCAGCAGTCCTCAGGTTGCGGAAACCTTGGGATCCGACTGTACCTCCGGAACGGATCCTGTCTGCAACCGGAGGTACCACTGTAGTTTCAGAACCACATCTGACCACACATAGTGCGGTTAAGCAGGTACAACGAGCACATTATGTAGAAACTCCTCAGCTTTAGCTCATGTCTTTTTACACAAGCCATAGTGAAAAGATTCTGTGCACATTCTTTCCTGTACCAGACACTAGTTACTTTGGAGAGTTAACTGTAAACCAAGCAGCCACACACTTGCAATTTGAACAATTAAACACAAACACAGTGTAAAGTCATCTAGCTTCCATACTTACGGAAAATCTATTGCAGACATTGCGTTCCATGGTGCAGTCGACTTCTGCTATCTTGACATCTACTGGTCCTGGAAAGTTCTTTTTTGAGAGATTCTCCCAAGTGGGAGCCAGGTTTTTACAATGACCGCACCTGGGGGGGAGGGATTAGCATGAAAGCATATATCATTTTTTAAATAAATAAAAAATCCCCATGTTGCTTTCAATATATAACAGAGGTTTGTTTCTTTTAAGTAACGTTTTTAAAGTACAAAACAATACTTTTCAAGCCAGAATCTCAAATAAAAAGCACAAATTAAGAAAAATCCATCCTACCGCATGAGACATTGGATCATTTTCAATAGCCATACGACACCAAAAAACTTTGAGTTGTATCTACTTCAACCATTCTTAGGCAGCACTAGTTCATCCAAAAATTACAAATAACACTTTGTCCCACATTTGATGAGGCAAGGCTCGGCAAAAGGTCAGGAAGAGCCCCTGCCCTCCTCATTCCTTAGGAGGGTGCAGATCTCCTTGAAGAGCAGCACGAGACTCTACTGCTTTCCAAGTGCTTTGTGAAAGGGACGGAGACAGCAGTAAACTTAATTTTGGCTACCAATTTAAAGGGGGGGGGGAAACCCCACTGATAATTCATCTTTTTCTGTTGTGATGTAAATGTGCCCTCCTCTAACAACCTAGGTTTCCTTAAAGTTGGAGATGATGTCTCATAGTCATCAAATTAGGAAATAACGTACCATTTGAACAAACGCTTCTGAAGCCACAGCCCTAAACCCACCTATTGCTAAGTAGGTTCTTGCTGAAATCCGTGAAGCAAAATGTCCTCACGCCACAGCCCGCCAGCTTACCTAAAACTCAGAAAGCAATAAAGCAAGGTTTCCACCTCTGACATGTTGTTTATACAACAAGTAAGGCTAAAATTTAAAATATGCTACTATCCACCACTTCTCCCGCTAGCTCAAAAAAGGTGGTGGTGTTTTTTAGAGAAGGGGTAGGAGTGGCTTTGTTATTCTAGAAGTAGGTCTATTTCAAAATCACAACTATAGCACAGCTAGTGCCCCAACCCTTTAAGTTACCTCGCCAGAAAAACCTAATATTCATTCCTCTGTTGCTGGTTCGTTCTTGTTGTAACAGATTCATAAATTTAAAAATTGCCTCCATAAACCAAAGAGGGTCCAAATATTGTGAGGTTATATATGAGGAAGTGGCTGGCTTGCTCATTTCCTCCCTGCATCCCATAACTTACCTGGCAAGCAACAGAATTATCTTAAGATGCAGCAGAGTAACCAGGCAAGTACTGGGATGGTTAATGTTTTCTGCCAACCCAAATGCCCATCTAATGTTCCAGTCGCATTTGCACAGAGGCAGATGCAGGACTGTTCTTTGAAACAGACCTGCTTCCCGTGGAACACCCAGTCTGTGTTACGTAACAACATGGCATGCAATCCGGTCACAAGCGAAGCACTTTGATGCTCCACTGATGCTCCACTGCAAAGAGTCTAAACACTTACTAAATTGTGGCCACAGCATGTCCACAGTAAGCTGCACTGGAATAAACCTGCAAACCAACTCGGTGCATGAATATACTATCCCAGTTATTATAAAGTAGATGTTAGAAAACTGGCAGCCATCAAGCTGAAATCAGCCTATGCACGTAAATCAATTTTTGATCTATCACTGCTGTGACATTAAGTTCCGCACTACTTTCCCAGTCAGTAGCTGATTCAAGGCACTGCTTATAAAAATATTAAAAACCTGCTCCCTGCCTTAGGAAACAAAAGGAATCATTCTTAAGGTCTCTTACTATATACAGGGTGTGTATTAAGAGGGCTACAGACCGTATGTACTGAAAACTATTAAGATGAGATGGGCTTTTTACTTGTCGTTCAGTTTAATGTTAATATTTACTTAAAACAAAGTAAAGGGCAAAAGGAGACCTCAGAGAACTAGCGGTTGCTTAGCCAAACATAAAACAGCTGACATGCAAGAGAAAAAGGTCAATTTGTATACAATGAACTATAATTGTGTACACAATTTAGCTGGCCAGGAATAGGCTACTGGCTATTTGTGTAGTAAACATTAGCCTGAGCTGAAGCTTTTCATGGAAACAACTTGTTGCCAAATGAGAGTGGATTTGGTCAGGTGGCATTTAGAATATCTTTAACGCAGCCCTCACTTTTGGATATTTAGCATCCTTGTGGCATGGCTCTTTTTAGAATGAAGTCAGGAGAGAATGGAAGCTATATTTGGAATGCAGCTCTGCTCTAAGATTTGCAGAAGAGCTCAGTGAATTCTACAGGTATCTCCTCTCTTTCACGTGTATCCTTCTCACCTGTAAATAATTAAGACCAGACCAGGGCTACCTCCTGAGTGGCAGGCTTGGTGGATGAATTGCATAGGGACAACCTACATGTCACATTGATAACAACTTCCCAAACTCCAGGTTTCCCTACTATCAGCAATAGCATAGGATAAGAAGACGGGAAGTCTCCAGGAGCCTAGAATGCCAGCAAAGACACCACAGAACAGTATGGTGGAGCTAGCACTGCATGAGATCAAGAACCGAACCACTTCCATAGTTAAATAAATTTTCACATCCATGCTTGGCCATCAAGTCACTAGGTGGTCTTCAGCCAGTCTCTGGGCCGATCCACACACCATATTTATCACGTAATGACATCAGAAAGCACACATCTGTCAGTAAGTCACCACCGATCTAACAGAACTTTTGCCTGGCAATTTTGTTTGCTGTGATGTGAGTGGAGAAGTGGGGTATAACTCTTAACAACTGAACTTTAGTCCATCAGACAGAACGGGTTGGTTCTTGACTGTGTCATTCTTAGACTGGGTGAAATCAGTTGAGGAGCCAACTCAATGTTTTTCAATATAAGCAATTCATACTTTCAGTATAACGAAGATGTGCGAAACTGACTTAAATGTACGTGAACCAGACCCCAACCTGTACCTATGGCAATTAAATCAGATCTGATACCCCTCCCCCCAAATAAAACATGCTTAAACCTGGGGTTCTATGTAGCATGAACAGCAGAATTCTTTTTTAGTATCAGCTTAGGCAGGATCGTATGTTATAAAGCAAGACGTACAAAATGTCATACATGCAAAATCTTGAGACTGTTATGGCCTGAGTCAAATACATCCAACACAAAGGCCTGGGAACGAGTACATTAAGAGGACAATCTCAGCAGGATTTGGGCACGCGTAAAATGTTTTTTTTTAGAGATTTGAGACACGAATCAAAGTAGAAAAGTAGAAGGGGAAGAGGGGCAAGGAAAGTGGAACTTTCCTCTCCACCACAGCATAGCACAGTAGAGAAGAAAGAAAGGAAAACAACTTCCTCTCTGGCAATCACTACAGTGCTGAGGCAGCCATTTCTCTTACCACTGCAACACTGAGCTAGCAGGAGAGGAATATCTCTGTCCTCTCCAGTGGAAATTCAGTGCTTTCTCTGCATTTCAGGGAGCCATCTCTGAAGAGCAGAGAGAGTGGTTTTCCTGTGCAACTGCAGGAGGGGAGGATCTTCGCAGCACGGCATTGCAATAGAGAAGGTAAAGGTAAAGGGACCCCTGACCATTAGGTCCAGTCGTGGCCGACTCTGGGGTTGCAGCGCTCATCTCGCTTTATTGGCCGAGGGAGCCGGCGTACAGATTCCGGGTCATGTGGCCAGCATGACTAAGCCGCTTCTGGCGAACCAGAGCAGCGCATGGAAACACCGTTTACCTTCCCGCTGGAGGTAATTTATCTATTTGCACTTTGACGTGCTTTCGAACTGCTAGGTTGGCAGGAGCAGGGACAGAGCAACGGGAGCTCACCCCGTCGCAGGGATTCGAACCGCCGACCTTCTGATCGGCAAGTCCTAGGCTCTGTGGTTTAACCCACAGCGCCACCCGCGTCCCTAATAGAGAATATATCCCCTTGCTTAACTTTCAAAGGCGCCTCTCTTTCCTCTTGCGCAACACCATTACTAGGCACAAAGTCCTTTCCGTTTCCTGACCGGTAAGACCTCCCAGTAGTTGCAGCACGAAAGAAAGAGGAGAAGCCCTTCCGCAACAGGTAGAGGTGCTGCCATTGGCTAATCTGACAGGGGTAGGTGGACCTCTTCATGCAGTTTGCTAGGCCTGATTTAGCATGTAGACTCACCATTCCTGCTCTAAACAGCCAGCAAATTAACGGTCTGCCAGGGGTACCTCCAGCTCATCTCTAACAAGACACGGAGGCAAAGAATAGCTCCCAGATGGAAACTAGTTTTCACTTCTGGATAAATGCTACCAACAGGTAAATAAGGTCACAATTATCCCACTCTAAAGGCGGAAATAAGTAAGTGAGGAGAACAACAGCAGCAACAGCACAGAAACAAAAAGTTCAAATGCCTGCAATCCCAAATGTTTTCTCTGTTGAAAACGTTTATCTATTCACTTCATTTGTTGTTCTAGTAATCAATAAAATCCTCATGCAGAAAACTTACCATGGAGCGTAGAACTTAATGAAGGTGATTCCCTGAGACACTTCTTTATCAAAGTCTTTTTCAGAGAGGGAAAGGACTTTGCCCTGTCAAAGGAAAGGGAGGTGAAAGTCAAAACGGCTTCAAACATGCCAAGTGCGTACTTGGAAGTCTCTCGCCACTGCTATGATGCTGTATTAAGAAAAAGGGGTGCATAGAGGAAGCCATGCCACAGTGTGGAGATTTCCCCATCTCTACCCAATACATGAGGCTTTTCAATACATCCTGAGTTTGCTTCCCCCTCCACAAAGCACCCTTGCTGGGCCAGGCCAATTGTTTTCTCTGCAGTTCATTTACCATCAGGTGAGAGCCACTGGAAGGGGGGGAAAGGTGGCACGCAGACGTATGCAGCTCCACTCACTGAGGAGCTAATTAAAAGCAATCTGTGAAGCACTCCTTGAAAATCCCTCATATGAGTACTGCAGCCTAAATGGACATCACTATCATTTTAATTTTCTGGATTCAAATTCCTTGTTCAGCACCTCCTGTTTTATTGTAGTCCCATCGTCCCCCTCCATTTGTTCCCTGCCTTCTTGCTGTGCCAACCCAAAACAGGGCAGAATCTGATCATGACTACCTCTGTCCTGGCAACAAGCTGTGATGTCACAAGGATGGTGACTTAAGTGAGAAAGAGGCTACAGGAAATGTAACATATACCATCCAATAGGAAGGGAACACCTCTCTATTTAGCTACATATATTATCTATCCATATACAGTGGTACCTCAGGTTACATACGCTTCAGGTTACAGACTCCGCTAACCCAGAAATAGTGCTTCAGGTTAAGAACTTTGCTTCAGGATGAGAACAGAAATCGTGCTCTGGCAGCACGGCAGCAGCGGGAGGCCCCATTAGCTAAAGTGGTGCTTCAGGTTAAGAACAGTTTCAGGTTAAGTACGGACCTCTGGAACGAATTAAGTATTTAACCTGAGGTATCACTGTATTATCTTTAAACTAAAAGGATGAGAGGCCAGGAACCATTTCATTCAGACACGAACCTGATATACACAGTATAGCGACATATGTATGTATGTTTGTGCACGTTTACATGAAAGCACAGCTCCATGGCAGCAGTCAATGCACACTTTTTAAAAAGCAACAACAGATTTATTGCAAATTCTGATCAAGTGTTATAACTAGAACCCTAGTGGAGGCATGACAGCAAAATCGCAAGAATAATTTTTAGAGTTTGGGGAAAACATTTAAGAGGTATTATTTAGGACATGGGTAGGCAACCTAAGGCCTGGGGACCGGATGTGGCCCAATTGCCTTCTCAAACCAGCCTGCAGACGGTCTGGGAATCAGTGTGCTTTTACATGAGTAGAATGTGCCCTTTTATTTAAAATGCATCTCTGGGTTATTTGTGGGGCATAGGAATTCGTTCATTTATTATTATTATTTTCAAAATATAGTCCAGCCCCCCACAAGGTCGGAGGGACAGTAGACTGACGCCCTGCTGAAAAAGTTTGCTGACCCCTGATTTAGGACTTACCTCTTCTTCTGGAGTTGCTTCTCTAGGTGGTGACGGTGCTTCTGTAGGTTTAGCATCTCCTGAGGCTTCTTTGGCGTCTTTTAGCTGGGATTCTACATATTCTTTCAAAGAGTCCAAATCTCTCTTTCCTTTATATTGGTCAACCTACAAAACAACAATGACAACATGTGAATTATTTAGTTTAGCAAACCTTTCTTGAATCCCCATTTGAAGATGTTCACGTTTAAGCACTCATTGCTACATATCTATATCATCCTACCAATTCATTAGCTTGGTTTATTGAATTCCACAGCTTAAGTTTTTTGCTTTTTGCCAAGAAAGAGATCCTTGCAAATCTTAATGCATTTTGAGTAACAGAGAGAGAGTTTCAGTAAGTTAAGAGTTCCTTTTAAAAAGAATATAAAACTTTGCATTTTCCCAAAAAAAATTCCACCTACCCGTCCACAAAAAACAAAACAAAACAAAACCACCCTGTGAGGAAAAAGCAGCTTCAAAATTTCTGGAAATTTCACACCTGTCTAGAACCCTGAGTTAGCAGGATTCTAAAAGGTGTGAGGAGCTTCCATGAGTATAGGAGGCCCTAAACAAGAGGGAACTTGAAAGGAGCTGTGCAACTACCGGGGGAGCGCTAAAGGCACGATCCATGCAATAATAATAATAATATTCTTTATACCCCGCCCATCTGGTTGGGTTTCTCCAGTCACTCTGGGCGGCTCCCAACAAAGTATTAAAAACACGATAAAACATCAAACATTAAAAACTTCCCTAAACAGGGCTGTCTTCAGATGTCTTCTAAAAGTCAGATAGTTGTTTATTTCCTTGACATCTGCAGGAGGGCGTTCCACAGGGCAGGCGCCACTACCAAGAAGGCCCTTTGCCTTCAGCTCCTTTTAAAACTTGTGTCACCCCTTCAAGCGAGCAATAACTGAACAGGAAGGGCCAGGAATTAAGGCAAGTGCTCTGAAACCAAAGCACACATTCCGGGAGCAAGGTAATTATTATTTCCCCTGATACTCATGCATGCCCTCCATCACCCCACCCCACCTGACCCCGGTGAGGAGGAAGATCCACAAGGACTCAATGCTCCACTGACTGGAGCATATTCTCCTTTTCAGCCTTGTCCAAAGGCAACACACATGATGGTTTACACCTCTGTGAAAACGGGAGCTCAGTAGTGGAAGCTGGAGGTATTTTATATGTGTGTGTCTGCATTATATTTGTGTGTGTGTATAAAATGACATGTTTGTTCTACTCGGCATGTCACAGCTCTTATGACCTGTGGCTACATACAGTTTCACAAACTACACCATTGGGCTTTCACAGTCCATTCCAGGGCAGGCCTGAAAGTGACGTAACCGATCCCATCACGTAAACATAGGAAACTGAATAAAGGGGGCAAGCTTCATAATAACCTCACCTTCTCTCCTCCTCTGAACCAAAGGAGGGTTGGGTAACCGCGCACTTGGTTTTCCGAGCAGACTTCATTATGTTGTGTGCAATCCACCTGAAACACCACACAAGTATCAAGTAAAAAGGCCATTGTGAATTTCACAAAGTAAAGGTATAAGCTGTCAGCAGGTGCGCTGAAATATTTAACTCTCGCTGCTGTGCAAAAAAAAAGACACAACTGCTGAAGGGTGTCGCCATGAATACTTATATAAAGCAGCTAAACATACTGGGCATGGCACATGATTGAAAACGGCACATTTTCCTGCCCTTGGGGTTGCATCTAAAAAACCATGGAACGAAAGAAGAAAGGACCTGGGACGAAGAGATGAAAACATGCTATAAACTAAAATGAAGTAAAAGGAGTGATAATAAAACCTGAAAAATATAATCAAAGGAAATAAATTTGGGGGAGGGGAATGCAAGAAAACATATGAGGTCATATATGTAATGGGGAAGGAGTTCCATGCCTTAGAAGCTGTAAGAGAGACAAAGTGCATAGCTAGAACGGACAGCTTAATAGGTTCAATGAATGGAAGGACCCAGGAGGAAAACAGAGAGAAAGCAGGAGTAGAAATGTGAAGAGACACAAAATAAGACTCATGGGGCCAACAGACGACGCCAGTGAAGATAAAAACACAGAAGAGAAATATACAGAGGTGTAACATGATTGAAACACAACCAAACAAAAAGTTAAATGAGCAGAAGAGCTGGGAATGGAGAGAAGAGTTTTAAGTGGGGAGATTGGTGAGGGAAGCATTACAATAACCCTTGCAACGTAAAAGGGAGAGTATAAGGGCTTAGGTAGAACCAATTGATCAGAAGGTGTGTGTGTGTGTGTGTGTGTGTGTGTGTGTGTGTGTGTGGTGCTTTTTAAAAAAAGTATTATAAAAGAGAGAAGCGACAGACCTCAGCTAGAGCAGTAATGTGAGCCAAGCAAGAGAAAGAAGGATCAAAGACAATGCCCAGCCTCTTAACTTGCTGAGAAGACTGAAGAGTGAAGTTGCTGACTGAAAGAGAAAGAGAAGGGGAAAGGTGATTTAAGGGGAAACATGACAAATTCCATCCTTTGTATACAGTGTTTGCGATAATGATCCAACATCCCAGCAGAAGACAGTTGGAAGCATTAGACAGCCTGGTGTTAGGAGGCAGTATGGGCTCTGAAAAGCAGGTGCTGGAAGCACAAAACAGGGGAGGGTCCTTGCCTTCATGGTCAGCTTTCCTGAAGGCACCTGGCTGGTCTCCCTTGGAAACAGGGCTGCTGGGCTAATGAACACTCCGGCTGACCCAGCAAGGCTCTTGAGATGTTTTTTTGTAAGGGGGAAGAGAGAGAAAGGAACACAGCGAGAAAGAAAGGAAGAGAAAGGCAGAGTTGGACGGCACCGTGTAAGAATTTCAAGAGCAAGAGTCAATGCCAAGGAAAGAATCTAAGGACTGAGCTCAGCAGACACCAGTTCAGAGAGGAAACTGAGAAAGAAGAGTGCCATTAAAGGAAGCTTTAAAAGGACAAGAGTCACGATGGGAGGGAAGCCAAGAAAGGAGAGTTATCAACAAACCCCCAAATAACGCCGAGGACTAAGGAGCAGAGAGGGATCAACTGTATCAAAACATGAGGCAAGATCAATGAGAGCAAGAGGGTTTTATATAGGGCCGTCTCAATAGAATGCAGATGTTGAATACCAGCCTGGAAAAGGAACTGTTGTAAAAAGAAAACCTGGGTGCTGTTGTTCAAGTACTTTGGATAACAAAAGAAAGATAGAAATGGAAAGGAGGTGAGGGGTTTTATTTTTAAAATAAAAATGGGGAACCACGGGGCAGGGTTTACCTAACAAGTCCTATCAGTGGAAGCCCTGAGCAAGGAAGCAACAGGGCACTTGTGCAACTGGGCTCCCCGCTCCTGTCCTGCCCTCAAATAGGCTCTGGGGGCATTGGGAGAAGACATAGCAAGTTTAAAGCACAACAGGGAATGGTGAGAAGAAAGGTAAAGTCTGAAAACAGAACAAGATTTATACGATACTCTGGTTTCTCTTCAGATCGTATAAATAGAATTAGAGAGGAAAGAACAGATGGAGTATTTGCTGTGGAAAAAAGGAAGGAAATAAGGAAGAGGGAGAACTGGGTCAAAAGGACTGAAGGAAGAAGAAAAGCAACAGCAGGAAATGAAAGCAGAGAAGATGGGTAAAAAATAGTGATGATAATAATGATGATGAAGAACACAGCCAGAACTAGAGAGTAATGAAGAATGAAGAGCACAAATCAATAAGCTCTTGGACAAAATTATTACAGGAAACTGATGAAGGGACAGCAGAGGAGAAGGATAATGATGAGCATGAAGTAGCAAACCCGATGCTAATCAAGTCAAATTTGGCCCAGGGGCATGCAGGAGCTCTGACCCAGAAGCAAAAGGAGCATGAGAAGGAAGAGAAGAAAGGCTAAGGTGCATGGGGTAAACCAGGCATAGGCAAACTCCAACCCTCCAGAAGTTTGGGGCTACAATTCCCATCATCCCTGTCTAACAGGACCAGTGGTCAGGGATGATGAGAATTGTAGTCCCAAACATCTGGAGGGCTGGAGTTTGCCTATGCCTGGGGTAAACGTTGCAGCAAGAGCAGCTCCTGTTCACTGCTCCATTCAGTCAGCCAGGCCCTCTTCCACTCTGTCCCCTCGTCTCACTCAGTTTTCTCCCATCAGTCAGCATTTGTTGCCTACTAAGCAACAAATGTAAGCTGTTAGTCCCCTTTTAGGGTTTCCCTAAACCTGCAGCTATTGCAGGGTGATTTATGTATTTATTGAAACCCCTTGCCTGCCTTTCCTCTTGAAAAGCTGTGCATGGGTGGCGTTGCTTTGGCAGCATAAGCAATGGCATTCATAGCCATTCGTAGGGAATGATTAGACAAGGTCTAAGATGCAAACAGCAGAATGGATGGGAGATGCGAGAAGTGAGAGTGGCAGAAGGAGGGAATCTTGAAGACAGAGAAAATGCCGAGCAAATTTATCAGAATGAGGGTTAATTTGTAAAGTGAAACCAACAGGAATAAGAATTGGAAGGGAAGAAAGGAGGAAAGTAAGCCAGTACTGTACTCATAAGTCAGATGTGGATGAACAGGATGGTGATAAATCACAGCAGCCCACAAATTAAAAGGAGCAGTGAAAAGAACACACACAATTAAACTATGGAACTCACTGCCACAGGAGGCAGTGGTGGCCACCAACCTTAGATGGCTTTAAAAGAGGATTAGGCAAATTCAGGGAGGACATCAAAGACTACTAATGATGGCAATGCTCTGCCTCTGTTGCTGGAAACCACGGGAGGGGAGAGTGCTCTTGTGCTCAAATTCTGCTTGTGGGTTTATCACGGGCATCTGGTTGACAATTATAAGAACAGGATTCTGGACTAAATGGGCCATTGGCCTGATCCAGCAGGCTCTTCTTATGTTGGAAACAAGAGGAAGAATTAGAAGAGGGGAAATCAAGAATCTGGAGCAAGCAAGAAGCTGAGAACAGATGACTTGCCACTACAACCTTCAAGGTGGGAGGAGTGAGAAATGCTAGTGAATGACTTAAGGAAGAACATCCAAGGCAGCAGTCAACTGGAGAGACTGGAAGAGCAAGGAGAGAGAGAGAAAATTCAGAGGAAGAAACCAAGCAGTGTGGCTTATTCGATAGCTGCAGGAAAGTAAATGAGAATGAGAATCAAGGCGAACCAACAACAACATGACAAAGAACTAAATTAGGATGACGAGGGCAATATGCAGTAGGGCCAGCACTGAGAGCAACACTACCAGCTAACCAGCGTGAAATAAGGGGTGGGGAAATGGAGACGTCAGAGAACAGCAGTCCAAACACCCTTGAAAAGCAAATTGCAAACACTTCGCACAATGGCCTGGATCCAGACGAACAGCACAATCCTACCCAGGACTTTACCCAGAAGTAAGTCCAATGGAACTCAATGGGGCCTATTCCCAGGTAAACGGGGTTAGGATTACATCCAAAATCCATTACACTTTGTAGCTCCATTGAAATCAATGAGGACATGTTGTTTCGGCAAGTTTAGATCCAATTGATTTCAGTGGGTTTAAAGTGGGCTTGGTGTTACTCAATATGTTTGAAGGCAGGCAGAACACTTGTCTGTGTTGGTTTCAACAAGCATTTATTTGCCCCCTTCCAAACCTGCTCTCAGGAAAAACAAAATGAAAATATTTATTTTTTTAAAAAAAACACAAAATAAGTATCAGACTTTCCTTCCAATGTCATGTGTAGTTTGTCTCCCAACAGACCCCAAATACTTTATTTCGTCTAAACTATTAACCGTGCACCCAGTTGAACATTTCAGTCTGGGAGAGCAATCTTTTCCACCAGAAAGCTAACAATATGACTACACTCCTGTTTTTATAGTTAGCTGAAGTTGTTCCAACACCCACACACATCTGCCTGAAGATGGAAAGAAGGGCTCCATCATCATAAAAGTAAGCTGTAGGGACCCTGCCTTTTCCTTCTTTAAAATAACAAGGCCCTGGTATGCCTATATTCCTATTAACCACTCATTCACTTGTCCACAAAGAGTAAGAATCCCTCCCGTGTAAGCAGTTTGCTACTTACTGTTTCTGAAACAGATAATTTGTTTGATTTTGCTGTTAACTGTCCTGATTTTTACAGTGGTACCTCGGGTTACATACACTTTAGGTTATATACGCTTCAGGTTACAGACTCCGCTAACCCAGAAATAGTACCTCAGGTTAAGAACTTTGCTGCAGGATGAGAACAGAAATCACGCGGCGGCAGCGCAGCAGCAAGCCCCATTAGCTAAAGTGGTGCTTCAGGTTAGGAACAGTTTCAGGTTAAGAACGGACCTCCGGAACGAATTAAGTACGTAACCAGAGGTACCACTGTATTTTTATGTTATTTTTTAAAATATGGAAAGGCCGGGTACAAAGGTTTTAAATGAGTAAATAAGCTTCCCTGTGACATACACACAGGTAAGATAAATATTTTGTTGGCAGGTTCCAGCAAAACAAGCAAGGCACCAGAAATTAAAAAAAAACAACCCGAGATGTGCAAATGGACTGCCAGGAGTATTATACCGCAGAGTAAATGAAGTTAATTGTGGGTTAATGGAGCAAACAGCGTTCTCCCATCATAGATGTTACTGTCCAAGTACATAATGTTCAGTTTAAGACCTTGTAAACGAAGCCTACCTTGCCGATCTTGGCAGTCTCCGAATTTTCAAGGTGCTGGGCCAACTGCTCCCAAGCTGGCGCCAGGGCCTTGCAGTGGCCACACCAGGGGGCAAAGAATTTGATAAAGTGATTGCCTAAAAACAAAACAAAACAAGGCGCGTGTAAATAAGCAGCGCTCAGTTCACTCATTCCAGCAGTGATTACGTGTCTGTCTTTATGCAGACAAAGAACACTGGAAGGTGTACTGCTATCCTTTGCCATGACTGGGTTTCCATTCTTAAGAGATGGGGATCCTGATACCAGCATCACACAGCTGCCCTGTGTAAAACAGGGGACTCGCTTACACCTGTAGCTCCCAGTAACTTCCTCCATACGTCCCCAAGCACAGCCACTTAGAAACTTTGGTAAGATAAGCAAGGTAACCTTGCCTGACATTCTTCCCCAATCCCCTCTCTACTACACTGCACTCAAAAACTTTATGCGCTTTTCTTTTTTTACACAAGGCTTCTAAAGGTAAAAGGTAAAGGACCCCTGGACAGTTAAGTCCAGTCAAAGGTGACTGAGGGGTTGCAGAGCTCATCTCGCTTTTAGGCAGAGGGAGCCGGCATTTGTCCACGTGTGGCCAGCATGACTAAACCGCTTCTGACGCAACGGAACACCGTGACGGAAGCCAGAGTGCAAGGAAACGCCATTTACCTCCCTGCCACAGAGGTACCTATTTATCTACATGCACCGCCATGCTTTTGAACTGCTAGGTTGGCAGGAGCTGGGACAGAGCAACGGGAGCTCACTCCGTCGCGGGGATTCGAACCACCAACCTTCTGACCGGCAAGCCCAAGAGGCTCAGTGGTGTAGACCACAGCGCCACCCATGGCACAAGGCTACTAAAGCATCTTGATTCCAAAATGTTTCCTCTAAAACGTCATCTCCTCTGAGTCTTGCAAGGCTCGAGGTTATCAGCAGGTGAAAGGTTATCAGATGGCCTTTTGGAGTTCTCAGTGGAGAAAGTTTGTTGGAGGTGCCAGAACAACAAGGATGGGAAAAGGCCTTTCCCTGAACCACTGGTCTCACTGGGTCTGAAGAAGGCTCAGAGCAATCTCCACCTGCCCTGGACGTATGTTGGCAAGCATCAGGTCCTGGGTAGCAACAGGTTAACAGCTGAGTTCTGAGGATTACAGTTCATCTTAGTAAGCTGAAAGTAGGCCTTCTGCCTCCATAAGGACACAAAAAGAGCCACGCTGGATCAGCCCAAAGACCCATCTAGTCCAGCATTCTTTTCTTACAGTGGCCAACCAGATACCTATAGAAAGCTTGCAAGGAGGACCTGGCTGCTCACAGCCTCTTCGCTTTCCCCTTCACACAAACCAGTGAACAAGTCAGGAAGTCTTCAGTTGCATCCGAACTGGGAAACTATGGTTTATAGCTTTGGAACAATGCAGGGCATGATGCCAACATCCAACCACGGTTTCAGGCTTGCTCTGAAACCATTAACTAAAACCATCCTTATTTCATAGAAACACAGAATTGTAGAGTTGGAAGGGACTACGAGGGTCATCTAGTCCAACCCCCCCTGCAATGCAGGGATCTTTTTGCCCAATGTGGGGATCAAACGCATGGCCCCAAGATTAAGAATCTCATGCTCTACCAATTGAGCTGTCCTTTGTTCACTTGCCTACGTGAAATGAGTTGTTGTAGTGGCTACATGCAGAGGGCATGAGGTTGATTTGTAACTCGGCTTCAAAACTTGGGATATGAACATTCAAAACATGGCAAGTGTCATTACAGTGGTGCCTTGCAAGACAAAATTAATCCGTTCCGCGAGTATCTTCGTCTAGCGGTTTTTTCGTCTTGCGAAGCAACCCTATTAGCGGCTTAGCGCTATTAGCGGTTTAGCGGCTATTAAAGGCTTAGCAGCTTAGCTGCTAAAAGGCTATTAAAGGCTTAGCGGCTTAGAAAAAGGGGGGGGGAGCGAAAAAAAATCTCAAGACTCGCAAGACATTTTCGTCTTGCGAAGCAAGCCCATAGGGAAATTCGTCCTGCGAAGTGCATTGAAAAACGGAAAACCCTTTCGTCTAGCGGGTTTTCCGTCTTGCGAGGCATTCGTCTTGCGGGGCACCACTGTAGTTTGCAATGCTTGAGCTGTGACCCAGGAACTCTCAAGATGAAATCTCATTTCTGCTACACAGATTCATTAGATAGCCTATTCATTATGGGACACTGTACCACTGTTACATAACTTTATTAAATATAAAGAGCATTTTTTTTTTAAAAAAGGAAGGATTTGCAGCAATAACTATCAAGTTACCTTCTGCAACATGCGTTTTGAAATTAGCTGATGTGAGCTCGTATAGACCCTGCTTCGATTCCGGGTCTTTGGGAGACTCTGGTTCAGACTCCTTCTCCTATCATACAAAGGAAAATTACATTAACAACGCTATTGTATCTCAAGACAGACACAGCTGGTTATATAGCTGCATGCATAATGAAACCGCAAGTATAAGTTTGTGGTTATAATCACAACTGCAAACATGACAACACTCGTTCGCATTTTCAGATAAAAGTACACACCTATAAGCTAAAGTGCTATGTACACATTTGTAAAACAACTCATGCCATCCATCCAAATGTAACTACTTCTTGCATGGAATTATTTTCACACACACACACACACACTGTATGTTATGTCTGAAGATCAATAAATTTTATTTTCCTAGAGCAACAAATGAGAGGCAGCCAACTTTCAAGAAAAAAACAAAGCAATGCTGGCAGCAGAAGCAGCAGCACTGAGGGCATGTTGTGGGGCTGCAGGGTGAGTGAGTGAGCGAGAGTGTGTTTGTTTGTGTGTGTGTGTGTGTGTGTGTGTGTGTGTGTAGAGCTCCAAGTTCAACCAGTTTACTTCCTTAGCCCACACCTAACCAGGAGAGCTTGCATTTGGTTCAGTGTAGGAATGAAGGATAAAAAAATAATAATACCCACATTCAGCTACCATTTCCCTTCAATGTGAATGGCATTGGTTTTTAAAAACATGGACATTATTGATGGCTGTTCATCACTGCCCAGCTCAAATCATTAAAGGAAGAGGTAGGATAACACAAGGCCCCAGACCTTCATCTTGTCCAATTTTGGCCACATCACATCCGTTCTTTATTTTCTAACACATTCTCTAAGGGGGGAAATGCAAAACGTATGGCCTTCTGGCCTTCGATGGGCTCCCCTTATAATTCAGTAACTGATATGCTGTATTTGCACTCTTTTAAAAACAAACAAAAAACAATTTGAATGGCATTTTATTTTGTGTCTCCTGAAAGAAGGAAGGACTCTTTGATCACTTACAGCAGGTTCTTCTTTTAGTGTCTTCAGCATCCAGTTTTCCAGCGACTGAAAGTCTCTAGGTCCCTGGTATTTTGCAGCTTCTTGGCCTGGTCTAAGCAGTTTCAGGCTGCAAATACAAGACAACAAATGCAAATGTTTTTAAGGTCATGCAATGTCGAAACATTCTGAAAACAACTGTACTTTTGCTGTCACGTTCCAGCTCAAAGAACCTTCCTCAGGGTGGTCTCTTTAATCCTAATTTTTCACAGTTGTGTTGATTTCAGTAGCGTGGCATTAGGCTTTCCAAGGCCACAATTTATCTGCAAACTTTCAAAAAGACTTAAAAAACTGAAGACAGCTTCAAATCTAACTGTGATGGAGATAGTCTGAATGCCCTTTCACTGCCGTGAAAACGTAACGGTACCACCTTCTGTACCCAAAACAAACTATTTGCAATGTGGGGGGAAAAGGGGTCTATAGATTAGCGCCTGTGACATCACTAGCATATCTGCACCTCTACCCAAACAATTCATGGAGCAGTTCTGCAACTGCTTTAAAATTGCTTGTGTTGCTTTTTCTTGGTAATGTCAAGGGCAAAAAAAGGTAAAGGACCCCTGACGGTTAAGTCCAGTTGCGGACGACTCGGGTTGTGGTGCTCATCTCGCTTTACAGGCCGAGGGAGCCGGCATTTGTCTGCAGACAGTTTTTCCGAGTCATGTGGCCAGCATGACTAAGCCGCTTCTGGCGAACCAGAGCAGTGCACGGAAACGCTGTTTACCTTCCCGCTGGAGCGGTACCTATTTATCTACTTGCACTTTTTTGGCGTGCTTTCGAATTGCTAGGTTGGCAGGAGCTGGGACGGAGCAACGGGAGCTCACCCCGTCACGGGAATTTGAACCGCTGACCTTCTGATCAGCAAGCCCAAGAGGCTCAGCGCCTCCCGCTTTTACTGATATAAACTCTGCTTATATACACACGTATATATTTGAGGACAGCATGCCTAAAACATAAAGGGACAGAGCCAATTGCATGTTTAAACTTGCAAGATATGTATTACAAGCCCAACTGCAAGGCTAGGTTCTCACACTACAAGTAAAGAGCCCATTATGACTACTGCTGAATGTTACACCTGTCTTCTTATGAAACATTTTATATCAGCATATTAAGAAATCTAAAGTGAAAAAAATGTTAAGAAACTTAGGCCAGAGGCCCATCACTATCTGCCCATACACGTCGAGTGAGGAGTCCTGGTTACCTACCGCCTGCCAATAAAGCGTTGGATAATTCACAGCAAGTACGAAATCAAGAACCTGCCGACCTCATGCAAATTCAGCCTGCCCAGGCTGTGGGTATACACGCCCCACAGCAGGGAAGAGCTCATCAAAGAGAGGCTATATCTGCAGAATCATCTAACAGGCTACCCTTGCCAAGAAGCTTCCAGGGTGTCGTCAATTAGGTTCTTCCTGGTTTAGCAAATGAACACAGGCCTTGGAAAAGGAAATGCTCAGTAATTACTATACCAGATGAGGCGTGGTCCTCTCACCCCAACCTACCGGAGCAATTCAACCACCTTCTGCTAGCTATAAGACCTTTGCATCACCTTGGCACATTTGCACAGCTGTTCCTCTTATCCATGCACAGGCAAACATATGGGTGTGCTCACTGCACTTTTCATTAAAACCCAAGAGGAGCAAGGAGGAAACAGAAACAGAATATTGGAAGGTTTTCAGTGCTAGTACTCCTCAGTCTAGATCCACTGAAGTTAATGAGCATGGCTAACGTAGGTTTATTAATTTCAATGGGTCTACTCTGAGCAGAAGCTAGTTGAATACAGCCCATTGCTTTTATTTCCTTGTGCAAATATATATCTACATAATCCCATGGTACAGTCCAATGGCACATAAGCCCACCAACCATGCTGAAGCTAAGCAGGTCTGGGCAGTGCCTAGGAGAGGCATTTTCTGGCTTCACGGTTTTCCCTGCATCATGATTTTTGCCATTGCCTGCTCTTGTGGTTCACTGTCCCCTGAATGAGGCAGGTGAGAGCTGAGCCAGCAGAGTTAGCAAGGGCTGCAGGAATCGAGAGAAGCACTGGCTGACTTCAGTGTTCCCCACATAGTGATTTTTGAATAGGACACAGACACACACAGAGAGACACATCATGATTCAAGATATATTGCCAGGGTCAAAAATTATGAAACTGATGTCACGATATGGACATCAAACCAGTTTTGGATGATATATTGATATTATCACCTAGCCTAAGTGCCTAGATGGAAGATTTCCCAAGAACCTCATAAATGCTGCCTTGAGTTCCATAACAGAACAAAGGCAGGATATTAATTTAAGAAAATAAAGCAACAATATTAAGAGGGCTTTTTTAAAACAATGACTGTGATTGCTACATGGGCTGCTGCTAGGTAGAAGGTCTGTTCACAAAACAGGGAAAAAGAGGATTCTGGATTCCCAGAAAGAGGATTCCCAGAAACAGAATCTAATGTATAATACACAATACAGTGCATTCCATGCACTTGGCAAAAAAGACGAGCCTGCTGACATTTAGCATTTCACCACAATGCTACACTATAAGCACTCAAAAGCAACTGCCCCCCTCATGCTGTCATGGGCCTAAAGGAGATACGCAGAACAATTAGCGGATGCAATGCTCCTTTAAACGTACGTCGGGTACCCTCTGACACTATACTCGGAACATAGTGGCGTATCCGCAGTGCAGTCCACTTTGACAACATAGACCTGTGGATCTTCCATGCTGTTGTACTTGTCTGCAAGATCGTTCCATGTTGGCTGCAGGCGCTGGCAGTGCCCACACCTGGGGTAAAAAAGAAGAAGATTAATGAATTCATTTTCCTTGTTACAGGGAATACTGAAATCATCTGCATATGGTTTAGAATCTCCATTTTCAACCACACAGAAGCCCGGGAGCTGGGCTTTGGTCCGATTTCAGGTTTCAGTTGATGTTTTTCAAACCGTGTTCTGGGGAAACACTCAGGTTCCTTGGAAGCTTATAGGTATTTTCAATAATGGCCGGAAAGATTCTCTAAAAGATTTCTCATCTCCTGTTACTGATGGGGTGCCACCAAGGGAGTGTACTTGATGCAATCTTAGTTCACGCGAGTTAACAGTGATGAGAAATGATATATAGCCTAGAACATCCCAGAAACCTCAGCATCTTGCAAGAATTCCATAAGAGAGAGACAGCAGTTTTCCTGCACAAAACTTGATACAATGGAAAGGACTCCCAAAATGTGCAAAGTCTGAAACCACTGTATCTAGCAACTAATGTGCCTCAAACATTTATTATTACTACTATTATTAATAATTACTTTTGACAAACACTCAACAGTTTTAAGCATTTGTTCTGACATTAGTTAGTTACTTGTTCAAAGAGATGAAGAGTGTGTCTAAAGTACTTCTTTGGATCCCAAACATAATAATGCTGCTTTGAATAAGAATGCATTGCAACAGCAAACAGTGTGAATGTTGAAGAAAATCAAATCATCAAGTTGATGTGAAGTTCAATCAAGACCAGGCTTCCTCAACCTCGGCCCTCCAGATGTTTTTGGCCTACAACTCCCATGATCCCTAGCTAGCAGGACCAGTGGTCATGGATGCTAAGAATTGTAGTGTCAAAACATCTGGAGGGCAGAGGTTGAGGAAGCCTGATCAGCACCATCACTGGACAAGAAGCATCAGGTATACTCTGTAAAACCTCCCAATGTAGTGTAGGAAAGGCACTTTTCTTTAACCTCACAATATGTGTCACCCTGACCTTAATCCAGGATATCTATAAGTGGTTAGGAGCTCAAGCAGACCAATTCCATCTCCCTCCATTTTCTTCTATCTTTTTAAACTGATACTGTCAATATTCCACAGGTCCTAGAAGTCAAAATTGAGCTGCTTTAGGGCTTCCCAACATTTCTTTTTATTTTACAAAGTAGTATCCATTTTCAAAGACTTCCCCCAAGTGTGCAGAAATCATCCCTTTATTTATAGTCGGCCTGTTTTACTTCCACACTGATTGGTGCAAGACCACACAAGTCTGGCATTACTGTATTGTGCATTAGAGAGATGTATGGTCCACTCATTCCTTTCCCAGGGTTCCTTTGTCCCCTTCAGAGCAATTTTGCAAAGGCCAAAGCTCACATTATGATTTACCCTCTAGCAAGCCAGCTTGAGTGAATTGATTAATTATGGTCACAGACCTAGATGTGTACCCAGAAGCATCTTGGAAAACGAGGGAAGACCATGAACTCAATGACTGGGGTGTGTGTGAGTATGTGTGTCACATAATGACTATTTGCAAATGTTACAACCAGTACGGGATCACTTGCACACATAGGGAAATTCCACCCCCACCTCACCAAGTGTCCCTCTGGCTACCACAAGGCATGTGTGGAGAAAGACAAAGGATAATGAATCTTTTCATGCCTCCAGTATAACACATAATGCAGGTGTGCAACACCTGTGGCCTTCCAGGTGTTGCTGAACTCAAACTCCTAGCATCCTTGACCACTGGCTATGATAGCTGGGGCTGATAGGACTTGGAAGTCCAACAACTCCCTGGTTTCCCATGTTAAAAGGGACATTTCCCTGTTATGAAGGTGGGGAAACCCAGATTGCACATCTCATGGCAGAAGAAATGCTCAAGTTCTGCCTTTATAACAATGAGCTGTATATGTGAAGACACCCACAGAAGACGCCTATTTGTATTGCAGAAAGAGGAATTGAAAACCTCTGGATTACAGTGGTACCTCAGGTTACATACGCTTCAGGTTACAGACTCCGCTAACCCAGAAATAGTGCTTCAGGTTAAGAACTTTGCTTCAGGATGAGAGCAGAAATTGTGCTCCGGTGGTCCGGCAGCAGGAGGCCCTATTAGCTAAAGTGGTGCTTCAGGTTAAGAACAGTTTCAGGTTAAGTATGGACCTCCGGAACGAATTAAGTACTTAACCTGAGGACTCAACATAGTCCTCATTTGGATGAAGGGGGCAGGGGTGGGAACACCAGGAGAAAGCCTGTGCTAATGTTTCATGTTTCCCCCGTTTATCTTTCTAGCTATAAACTCACATTTGAAGTGGGGGGACACAGCAGACCAGAGATACTACTGGAGCTAAAGGGGGCAACCTGACTAGGCCATTGCTAGCTACTTGAAATTGCCCCCCACGTAACCCAAGTGGTGACTAAGCTCCTGATCTGCAGCGCAATTCCTACTAGGAGTCTACCCCTTTAAAAATAAAAATTTAAAGTCAGTTCAGTGCTGATTGAAGACTTCTCAATTATTAAGATGGTTGGGTGACGCCAGATGTCTCCTGCTTTTCCTTGCCAGGAGCTCTGTACAGATCAACACTTCCTATATTAACATCTCAGAGCAAGATTATCTGTGCATATAGACTCTGTCTCAGAAGGAGCTCTTTCTATTTACCTTTTTCTTTGCCCTGAGGCACAGACCTAGGAAAGATGTGAATTCTTAATTAGCTGTTTGCATTTACTGCAGAAGCTTCAGCTGCCTTAAGAGAAAATAGCTTGGAAACCACTTTTGCATGGGCTTTATTTGAGGCCTATGCAACACTGCTTATGAATTTTCAGTGAGTTAAAAAATGGCATTTTATTAATGATAGAGCTGGTCTGAGACCTACCAGTAAAACAAGTTCTGGCCCAAATTCTAGTAGAGCTAGGCTCAAATTAAAGGAGGGGAGGAGAGGGGAAAGAGGTTAACATGCTATGTCCTGCTGTTTTGTTTAGATTCCGGGGTGTGTGTGTGTGTGTATTTTTTGCTTTGTCTTTGGTCAGTTAGGACCTGTGAATGGCATCCAGCAATGACAGACTTATCTGCAACAATGGAAATGATTTTTCTATGGGTCCTTTGTATACCTATGAAAATTTGAACAAAGAAAGTATAAAAGGCACAAATACTTCCCTCCATTAGTTTTCCCTTTCCTCTCTATTTGTTAGGCCAGATACATATTTTTTCAGTTTCTTTAAGACACTTGAAAAACAGCAAAGCTTTTTAAAAATAATAATGTACTGGTAGGCAAACTACTAACTCTTTCTGTAGGCTAGCAATGTGTGAACAAATCTGCAACCCTGAAGTTGCCATTTTTCTAATCACAGAAGTTGCCTCTGCAATCTTCTGCGTGCCTCCACTCCAGAATGTACACTGCTCACATGCATAGCTCATTTGTGTGCGCACAGTTACCTGACTTCTGTGCTGGCCATCAGGTAAACACACCTGCACTTAAAATGCACACACAGATAAGTGATGAGCTACTTCAGGTATTACGACCACCAATCGATCTGACATAACTTGCCCCCATGAACTTTTTCATTTAGCAACCTAAGAGCCCTGGCCACCTCGCCCCAACATCCTGTTCTTACCAACCAGATGACCGTGGGAAGCCCAAAAGCAAGACCTGAGCGCCAATAGCCCTCTCCTGACTTGCCCATCCACCCCAACGACCCACTTTCAGAAGCACACTGCCTCAAGACAGTGCAGGTACCAACATGGCTAGTATTTATACCCTGCTGGGTCCCATGGGCGAAGGGCAGCTTACGGTAATGCCATTAAACTCTCTCTGGGGACAGAGGGTAAAAGTCACAAGTGGGGGCAGGCTGCAGCAGCTACTTCTGCAGGGAAAGAAAACCTCCTTGCGCGTTTTCTGCCCCTGAGGTGGTAGAGCACCTGCTCTCTCCCCAACCGCACCCAGGAATAATGATAGCGCGCAGAGGCAGCACAGCTAGATGAACAGAAGCATAGGACTGTAGCGTCGGAAGGGGACCCAGGGGGTCATCTAGTCCAACCCGCTGCCGTGCAGGAAGATGCAGCTGTTGCAAAAAGAGGGGGCTGCTGCTGCGAGATCCCGCCAACTTCTCCACAAATAGAGACTTTTTAAAAGACCCCTTTGGACGCGTGTGCGCGTTTGGGGAGGCAGTGGGTGGAGGATGATGATGATGGAGGAGGAGGAGGAGCCTCCGCCGCCCCCCCCCCAGCCGCCCGGACCCCCCCCCCAGCCGCCCTCCGGCCCGCCACGTCAGCGGGAGGAGCAGACCTCGGCGCGCGCCCACCCCCTTCCTTTTCCCCAGGCCGCCGCCGCCGCCGCTCACCACGGGGCGAAGAACATGACGAAGTGCGGCGCGCTTTGGGCGCCATGGCGCAGCATCTCGGCGCTGTAGAGGTGCCGCGCGTGGGGGTCCGCCTCGCCGCCCGCCTCCGTCCCCTCGGCCCGAGCGGGGCCCGCGCCTAAGGAGAGGCAACCGAGCAGCAGGGCCAGGCAGGCCGTGGAGGGGTGGGAGGAGGAGGCCATGGCGGCGGTGCAAACGGAAAGAGAGCGAGGAAAGAAGGAAGGAAGGAAGAAAGAAGCCGGCCCGGGCCACGTCTCCCCTCCCGGCCAAGCCCGCCTGCTGCTGCTGCTGCTGCTCCCCCCGCTGCGAGGGCGGTGTCTCCTCAGCCTCCGCCCCCGCTCCGCCTGCCTCGGAGGAGTCAAAGGGCGACGGGGAGGGGCCGGCAGGGAAAGGCCGGCGGCGCCGAAGCGCGCTTCTTTCCCCCTCGCGGCTCGGAGCAAAGTTGCGCCTGTGAGGAAGCTGCCCGTTAAGTTTCGAAAGAGAAGCGGTTCGGGGGCTCAGGGGAGCGGAGGAGGAGGGGACCCCCCTTCAGGGCCGCTGCTGTTGGGCAGCGCATTTAACTCAACTTAGTCGCATTAAGCACGTGCGCGTGCATCCGGCTCTGAGGTCTCTAATAAGGAATATCGCTCTTAAGGAACGAACTGTTGTTGTTGTTGTTGTTGTTTAGTCGTTTAGTCGTGTCCGACTCGTGACCCCATGGACCAGAGCACGCTAGGCACTCCTGTCTTCCACTGCCTCCCACAGTTTGGTCAAACTCATGCTGGTAGCTTCAAGAACACTGTCCAACCATCTCGTCCTCTGGCGTCCCCTTCTCCTTGTGCCCTCCATCTTTCCCAACATTAGGGTCTTTTCCAGGGAGTCTTCTCTTCTCATGAGGTGGCCAAAGTATTGGAGCCTCAGCTTCAGGATCTGTCCTTCCAGTGAGCACTCAGGGCTGATTTCCTTAAGAATGGAGAGGTTTGATCTTCATGCAGCCCATGGGACTCTTAAGAGTCTCCTCCAGCACCATAATTCCCTTCACTGGCTGCTTCAAAAGCATCAATTCTTCTGCGATCAGCCTTTTTTATGGTCCAGCTCTCACTTCCTTACATCACTACTGGGAAAACCATAGCTTTAACTAGGGGTACTTATTTACAACGCAATTCTAGACATGCCTAGACCGCACGGAGTAGTGGGGGTTGTTCCCAGGCATAGGAGCCAACTTAATATAATACTGAAAGGTGTGCACATGCAGGTAAGCCCTGCCCCACATAATCAATCACAAGATTGCAATTGTTGCAAGGTGTGCTTTCTTCAGCGCCGAAGAACCTAATCACTCGCATCCAGTATTGGAAGCAGAGCTGAACCTGAGTGAGCCACGTGCCTCTGAATAGTGATAGTGGGATTCACACACAGAGAGAGTACAATTGCTTGCAGAATTCCCACAGGCATCTGGTTGACTACTATGAGAACAGGACATTGGAATAGATGGCCCTTTGATCCAGCAGGGCTCTTACGTTCTTAAGACAAATTAGATAGTTTTGCTCTTGTATTCTTCTTCCATTCCTAGCTTGACACAAGACGACCTAACCGTGTCATAAAGGCATTGCACAGCTAATCACTATGTTAACAAAGATAGATCTAAATTTGGGGGGTACCATATGTAAAATGTAATTTTAGGACAAATTAGAAAGGGACCTAGCAGACACAGGGCTTTGTGTTCCTGTGTCTATCATACCTAAAAGTTGAGCTATGCTTTCATGACACTCATCTAGCCTGTTTTATAGCTAAGGATAAAATTGCTAGGCAAAACCTGTAACCAGAGCTGACTTTGTAAGACAGAAATACACCAGTTAGTTGAATCAAGGGAACCGCTATTTGCCACAGGCAACACACACACACACACACACACACACACCCTCTTAACAAATACTACCAATGTTAATGTAACATTTGTTAGACAGCTGACATATAACAAGCCAATTGAATGAACAATTTCAATTGAGAATTTGCTATTAATTTGTCCTACAATTCAGAGAGTCTTCAAAAGGACACAGATTCTTCGAGTCTCCCAAATATAGTAGTTTTTTATTTTGACAGCTGTCTGACTGAAATGCTGGTCTCTCCAGAGAGATAATGTGATGTAATTTTCATGACAGCCCAATTGTCATTGGTTAGGAAGGATATTATAATCTCAGTGGAGAGGGAAAAAGTGATTCTGCCATCTGTAAGCGTCTATCCCAATTACTTCAATGATTTGTACCTCCCATGTAGGGCTGGGAGTGGAAACTTCTACAAGCTGTTGAATAAAATGACATAATTTTGCCACCCACAAAACATTATGCAGTATGACAGTTTAAGAGACGGTAAGAGCAGTCAGAAAGTACAATCTCGTAACAAGTGGATAATTTTTTTGCTTCCCTGCCCCACTCCAGAACAGTTTTACAATCCTAAGAATGGCTAGGTCAATCTTCTTTGTACCCCTACTCTACTTTTTGCCCTCGACTCAGAGTGTGTTTGGGTGGAGATACTGCCTCCGCTAATTGCTGTCTAGCCAAACCTTGAACTTCAGGAGCTCATTGCTGCAGCTTCCATAGCCATGCCCCCAAAGGGAGTCCAAAGATGTTGGCAGATGTGTTGGTTTATTATTATGCACAGAGGTACCAAAGAGCAGCTTGAAACAAACTTTATTAGGATCAGTCCTGTTTCCTAAGACTAATTCCACTGAACTCATGTTGAAAGCCTTGTTAGCATTTCATTCACTTGCCAGAGCAAGAAGGCTCTGACCTGGCATTCCTGCAGATTCTGTCCCTCATTCCTGCACTGAAAAAAGACCCAAAGCTGCCCATCCCTGCATGACCCCCCCCCCACTGCTGCATCTTAGCCATCTAAAAAGTAGCCTGATCCCCATGTCTTGTCTAGTCTAGTGCTTCCAATGCTTGAAACTCGTCCAGAATAACTACATGTGCCATCTTTCCTCCTTTAAAACCCCTCCTCAAAACACTCCATTCCTGTGAAGTCTACCACTCAACTGAAACAAAGCTGTGTTAAGTATTGACAATTGCATTTGCTCGTATCCATCTCATTACCCAAGCTTCTCCCTCCCCATCCTTTGAATTTAGCTGGTCAGCTCCCAGAGGCAGGGCTTTGTGTGTTTCAGTTATGTTTTGCTGGCAGAGTACCCATATCCTACTTGGCTTTCTATAGGCACCAGGTAGGTCACTGTGAGAACAGAATGCTGGACTCAACAAATGTTGGGTTTGATCCAGCAAAGCTCTTCTTATGTTCTTATGAAAGTACTGTGTATATTGATGGATTGTATCATCGTCACCACCATCCTCTCAGGTCTTCAACAATCCAGTAGACCAGGTAAGCTTACAAGAACAGCTGCATGGTGACAGGCGCCCCATAATATTTCCCCCCTTGGTTCCTGTCAGCCATGTACATGGATGGGCAAGAGAGCAATGGAGTTCTAGGCATTTTAACTGGGGGCTTCAGTTGTGCAGGAATAGCACAGTTCCTTAAAAAAAGAAACACTGCATACTAATTCTACTTTGCACAGAAGAACCTGCAACTTCCACAGGTCTATTATTAGCTATTAACCACCACCCGGTGGATTCCTGACCACCCTGATTATGCAGTTTCAGAGACCAGTTTCAACAGTTACTTCCCTTCACTAGCTGCTTGGGCGGAATTGGCTCAAGGTGCTGTTCTGTTGGTTTCCTATCCTGAAAGAGATCATCTCTCATTGAACGAACTTTGGGGAAGTGTAAAACAAATGAAAAAATGCTGCTTGGTTACTTTCGTAACTTTTTGAGATATGATCATTTCTGCTCTAGCCATTTTTTCTTAAGCTAGAGGTTGTTGACAGTCAACAGAACTCTCTTGATTTCTTGTGCACTAGTAGTTTGTCCTATGAAAACTATGACACAGATCTATTCACTCTGCTTGGAATGTGGGTATTGGTGGAATAACCCAGACTTCTCTGTAACATAGGATATGTCCTGCAAAGTTCTGAGGCCATGACATTAGCACTTCAATCAATAGACTTCCAGGCTTATCCAGTGTCCACTTAGCTAGCGCAGACGTTAGCCATTAATAGATCGATCCTCCATGAATTTGTCTTATCCCTTTTTAAAAAACTGTCTCAGTCAATGGTTATCATCACATTTTGTGGCAGTGAATTCCATAGATGATGTGTATGAAGAAGTTCTCTATGTTATCTGTCCTGAATCTACTGCCTGCCAGCTCCCTTGGGTGACCACAAGTCACAGTATTACGGGAATGGACGAAAAACGTCTATCCACTCTCCACATAATTGGGTAAATCTCTATCATATTCCCATTTAATTGTCCTTTCCTAAGTTAAAACCTTTTAGCCGTTTCATGCAGGGAATGTGCACCAACCCCTTCATGACTTTGTCGTTTTCAAAAGTCATTTTTCTATGACATCTTTTCTGAGATGGGCTAACCAAAAAATGCACACAGTGTTTCAAATGCATAGGTTTGTATAAGGGCGTTACAACACTGGAATTTTTATTTCTGATTCCCAATAATCCCTAGCAAGGAATTTGCCATTTTTACAACTGCCACACACACTTGACGTTTCCATTAAGCTATTAACTGAGGGCCAGATTCCATTAAGTAAACGTGCTTGCAGGAGAGCCACCGTAATGAGTTCTGCTGGGCTACTGCACAGATGGAAGAGGGGGTAGGACATTTTCTTCTTTCGGAAACAGCTTGTCCCACGAATCCTGTGGATCAGTTGCTGCACGGTGCTGTGCTGGGGGCGAGGATGCAACAGCAGAGCTGGAAGCTTGACTCTCTTTATGAGAAATCTCTGGTGCATATTTTTCTTTACAACTCCGATGGGCCTAATGCTTGCAATGCAAGAAGAAAACAAATTTTCTGTGTCATAGGTACGTTGCTGCTGCTGTTAAAAAAACACAACACACTTGTTGCGGTTCTCTCCCATTAAAAACATTCAGTCATATGAAGACTGCTGTTGGACCAGGCCAAATCCCTATCTAGCCTAGCATTCTGTTTCCACAGTGGCTAACAAGATGTCTATGTGGGATGTTTGCACTGGCATCCGCATTGCCTGTTGGCCTGCTGCCAAGAAAATGCAGCACTAGAAGGCCCTTAGTTACCAGCAAAATGTCCAGGAGTGGAAGCTGTACTAACCCATTAAGCTCATATAAAGGCCCCCAGACAGTTGGAAGGCCATGCTGGGAACTAGTTGAGAGCCTGGGAAATATCTGAATCAAGAACAGGGGGAGGTAGAAATACTATGCTGCTTCCTAGTCCTCCTAAAGTGGCTGGGCGGCCGATAGCTTTGCTCTAGATTGGTATTTTGATACTGGTTCCTGAATATATGCGGTTGACTTGCAATGCAATCGTGTGCATGTCTACTGAGAAGTGAGTCCCACTGAGTTCAGGATTGCAGTCCCAAAGGCTCTTATGTCAAACACTTAAACTGAAGATAACGGTAGTATACATACTACCACTTAACTTGGCTGCACTAGTTGACAAATAGCACATTCTCTTGCACAGTTCTTGTCATTAAAATTAATGGGAGCTGTACAATAACAAGTGTCCTCTTCACAACAGTGGAAGACAAACTGTAAAAGCAGACATTTGATCTGATTAGCCTTTAGAGGAAGAAAGAAAATTGGTCTATAAAAAGAATAATCCAAGGACTGTATAGTGTTACTTCAGCCTTGTAAATGAAATGCATATTTGTGACATTTAGCCCTTTCATAGATCTTAATCATTTTAAATCCAAGTACTTTGACTTAACAGGATTGCTGATTGCACAGTAAGCCACAATTTGCTATAAATAACGGGAGGTGAGTTCCAGGATCAGCTCGTTCAAAGTGATTAAGTATTTGGAGTGTAATGTCTGTGGTGGGCAAAAATGCTTGTTATAAATCCACTAAATGTACCAACAAAATAATAAATTTACTGAAGTGACAGCTTTAAACCCAAAACCTGCCTTAGTATTCAGAAAACACACGATTGGAACAATGAGATCATGTGAAAGGATTCTTTAACATTAGCAGATAGTGCTTGTTTTAAAATATTTGCATGCTGCTTTTTTAGGGGAAACCCTCTCAAGGCATCTTCCAGCATGTACAATCACATCCAGAGTGGCGAATCATTTCAATCTATGAGGGCCACAACCCCTCAAGATGAACCATCTTGGTCTTCATGCCAGTGGTGGGCAGGGAGGGGAAGGCAAAAATTTGACAGGGCAACTGAAGTGTCTCTTTAACTTTTTGCACAGGCTATTATTTCCAAGACACAGAAAAGTAAGAGTTTTCCATGTACGTACTTACTTTACATCTTTCCTTCTTTTATCCAAGCAGGCAAGAGACATTGGACACAGTGGACACTGTGGAGCGAGGCAAAAACACTTGAGTGTGCAGAGCAGGGTCCGTGATGAGTGTAGCCTGAGGAGGAATCGTTCTGAGGGCCAGAGAAGCCTGGGGGTCCACATATAATCAATAATCAATGCAAAACCACAGCAATAAAGATAATATATAACCAGTAACACTAATATAACCAATCACTAATCACAAATGACATTGAGTTTAGTAAGAACAACAAACTCAGATATATAAAATATACAACAAACCCAAATAATCTTTATTTCAGCTAAGTATGTTTTTAACAATTAGGCAGATTTAAGCTCTGTCCTGCTTGGTGAGGCCAGGTTAACACAAGGACCTCCATCAATGGGACAGAGGTCATGACCCCAACAGCACTGCCAGATCCCAACCAGCACAAGGTAGCATGTCAGTCAGTACCCTGGAGAGCTCACTGTACCCAGAGCTGGCTAAGACTCGCACAGGAAGAGCTGTTGCTTCAGCAACATGCTGAAACCTCCTGAGCTTCTATGAAGGCTGGTTGACCTGATCCTCCTATTGGCCCTGCTCTCTCTGTTCTTTTAAAGGGCCAGTGCCCTATTCTGTAACTGCTGGTTCCTATGGCATGGCTGCATGTATTGGAGGGATGTCCTCTGAGCTAGACAAGTCTAGAGATGTGTGTGGAGAAGCTCTCCTACAAAAGAGGGTAAAATTTATATTAGTTGCCCAATTTTGCCTCTGGCCCCATCCACCACACCTCGGAAAGTTGCTTAGAAGGGAATGTGCCCCCCCAGGGTTAAAAAGGTAGCCTGCCCCTGTTATAATAGGTGAAAAGTTGGAATATGCGTCTTCTAATTCGGAATATGTTAACAAGGACTCTGCACCACAGCACAACTGACTATTGATAGTTGTGTTTTCTGCTGCTGAGAGCAATGCACACTGGAAAATATATGACTGCTTTTGTGACAATTACTGAATACAGAAAATCCATTGTGGACCACTTAGTGATAAACCACATGATGATTGTATTTCTTTTATCTGCCATCCTATTATGCTGCTTTGTTCTTCCACTTCTGATGCTTCTTTTAGCATTACACCGTAAGTTATTGTGGAAAGAGGTTACATGTTTTCCACCTGTAATTTGAAAGTGCATCGCACACAAAAATAAGTGACAATAATACTGCCAGAAACCCCAGGGATTAAAAAAACAAAAAAAACCCACCACAGTAGATCTGAAGACAACAACATTGTTTTCAATATTAGACACAGCCATTCAAAACTCAGAGGACTGCAGAGCAGGTCTCTGCCAAGACAGTAATAACCCATAAACAATCAGATGGTTTTTCCAGACCACCAATCCACTGACATTTTTTTTTACTACTGGTCTAAATTTATTTTTTCCATTTATACCCCATCGTTCTTGCTACAATATGACAGCTCAAAACAGCTTGTAAAAAGGAATAAAATTTCAAAAGCAAACATTTGTAAACTAAATTAAAGCAAACCTAGTCAAAATATATATATATAAACTCCCTGCTCCCCATGCCTCTGAGATAAAAATGTTTTATAGTACAATCCTATGAATATATTCGTGGGAGCCCTGCCTCACTGCATTCAAGATGGTTGCAGTGCAAAACTTACTTACGTGTGAGTAACTCCCACTTAATTACTTCTGAGTGGACATGTTTAGGATCGCACTGTGTGTTTAGAAGCCTCGATCTGTGTTCTGAAAAAGGACCGCACTCCAGAAAACACTCCCTGTGCCTATTCTCTTAGTATTTGCTTTTTGATATTTGAACTTGTTCTATAATCTTCTGTCTTAACCCTGTAGAAATGGTGACTTTTAAGAGTACCAGGCTGTTTGTAGGTGGCTCAAGGTTTTAGTTTTGGGGGCAGAGACTAATGTCAGAGAGGAACTGGGCAAATGGCTTGGGCTGCCATATATCCAGATCCAGGCTCATTTTAAAGACAAACCATAAGAAGAGAGAACACAGAGGCCTTCACAGTGGACTAAGCAGGCACACAGGTCACCTTGTCTTTCTGAACTGTAGCATGTGTGCATTTCATGCAAATCTGTGAGAAAGTGCTGCTGCACTTGGGTTCTGCTTACTGGCTTCACACAGGCATCAGGTTGGCCACTGTGAAAACAGGATGCTAGACTAGATGGTCCCTTGTCCAGGGAGTAGGGAGTAAGATCAGCACAGTGGAGGGTAGATAGGAAAACATTTGGTTGAATTTTGTTTTGACAAAACACTTCAAAAAAATTAATTGAAAAGAAGGGATGGAATAGGCAATGAATCAGTGGTCCTCCAGATGTTGTTGGACTCCCAATTCCCATCAGCCCTGGCCAGCATTGAAGTCCCAAAAACACCTGGAGGACCACAGGTTTCTCATCTCTGATCGAATGGGCTGCATCTTGCTTACCAATATATTTGTCTGGATTGTTACTGTACAGCCACATACTAGCAGGCTGGTCAGTCAAAGGATTTCCCCACCCTGGGGAAAGACTCTGGCAATTCAAATGCAGCCTATGGGATCATTCATAGCCTACTACTAGGACAGAGGGTTGTTAAGATCCTAGAATGAGGATAGTCCAGGGTACACATTTGCAAACATAAATAAACAACTTTAATGGTGAGACGTGGAAACTCAGGTAAGAATGGTCCCTTGTGTGAGCCTGCCTCTTCCTTGCATCCTACAAGTTATCTGTTTTCTTCCAGAACTCCAGAGCCCTCACCGCACTGAGTGATAAGTTAGAAGGCAAGCCTTTTCTGCCAATTGTTTTTGGCAAATGGACCAAGGAAGACTATTGTTGTTGCTGACTGTTATCTCTGCCTCCAATCCCACTTGGCAGAAATTCAAACCTATCTCACTGGTGTTGGAAACTAGGCTTTTGAAAATCTGGATGAGTCAACTCATTAACAAACAAGGAAATGGGAACCAGTCTTAACAAAATATGTACATAAAATAGTTTATTGGATGCTATGCTGTTTGTCCTCATAGCTGTGACACTGTTTTTTATCTTGCTTCACAGTCTTCCTAACAATGGAGTGGGGAGGTCAATGGTTATCAAATTTTAATCAGCCTCAGTGTTGATGTATTACTTACATAGCACAGAAAATATTTTAAGCATTTTCACGGATGCGGGTGGTGGAGCTCAGGAATGCCCATTTAATATTTTTACCATTGTTTAATGCCAGTCGTTGCTCTACAGCAGAGATGGGGAAACCTGAGGCCTTCCAGCTATTGTTGGACCTCAACTTCCATCAGCCCCAGCCAGCAGAACCAATGGTGAGGGATGATGGGAGTTGTATCCCAACAATATTTGGAGGGCCAAAGTACCCCATCCCTGCTCTACATCAAGGATGGCCAGTATCTTTGGTCTTGGGACGTACTCCAAATACTAGTTTATGGACAGTAACATCTAACCTCCTTATGCATGGTCACATTCGCTCTGTAAAAAATGTACACAATCACCTACAACAATAGCTTCACAGGTTTAGACACTTGCATCCTGATGGCACAAAGTTATCCTGTGTGAGTGTGTGTTGTTGGGGGAACAAAAGTGCTTCCTGTAAGAAACCTTCAAGAAGGAGGTCAGGGGGTTTCTAAAACCTACTTCATTTCAAGGTTTTTCAGTGACAGAAGAACAATACATTAACCAACATCTGATTTCAAACACAGCTTAATGATTTTCACCTACATGTGCCCTTTTCAGTTACCAGAGATCAAATCAACTGAAAATACGTAACACATAATATAGTACAGATTTCTATCACGTCACCCATCTTCTAAACTTGATTGCTTAAAAAAAAAAAAGGTTTTTGTTAGCATCATAATATAAATTTAAGATGGGAGTCTAGTAAGCCTTTTATGCTTCTTAATTTTAGAGTCAATTATTATACTAGAGGCGAGTACCATTTTAAAGAATGTATGGTGAGCCCTACAGATTTAGGCCAAAGGCCCATCCAATTCAGCATCATGTTCTCTCTAACTGGATACCTATGGGAAACCTAACGCAGGACACACGCAATAGCAGTCTTTGCCTTCCCTAGCAGCTGGTATTCATACTGCCTCCAATATAGAGGTAATAATATAAAGACATTGTGACTAGTACCAGTCAATATAGTGGTATTCTCCATGGCTTTGGTCTAATCCACTTAACAAGTCATCCAAATTAGTGGCTATCACTACATCTTGCAGGAGCAATTTCCATAGTTTTAAGTATGCACTGTGTGAAGAATGACTTCCTATTGTCTGTCCTGGATCTCCCAGCATTCAGCTTCACTGACATTCTGGTATTATGAAAGACGGAACAATCTATTAACTAAGGAAATACTGGAACAAACAATTTAAACATTCCCATCTACATATTGGTGTATCTTGCTGTGACGAAGGCATAACCTCTCACAAGAAAAGGGAAAGCCAAGAGTGATTGAGTTGTTCTGCCATTCTTTGAATCTCCATGATATATCTGAGTAGTCTTGCCTCCATTCAACGAATACTAGAAAAGACAAGCTGCAAAACTCGGGCCACTCATTGTCTCCTTAGTCACCTGTAGCCAAACTGTATCATTTTGGATGATATGTGACAATAATGTTACGTTGCTCAGCACTGTCTTAGGCTGAAGATGCTAGCTTGAACTTTGCACCCAAGCCAAGGCTGTTGTCATCAAGTCTTCAAAGCACAGGATATCACCCAAAGATCAACATTGGAAGAAAACCTCCAAGACCTGTTCTCTCTCTGTCAATCTTGCAGAACTGTTTGACCTTATAAACTGGAACACTCTCTTGAATTCTTCATGAACCTGGCCACTATTTTTCATATTGGTTCCAGCATTATGACTCATGCTGTTGACAAATGGCAAACAATGGAGAAATTTTATATCAAGACTGGCACCCACCAGAGCTGTGTGTTGGCACCTTTCCTTTTCAACGTGCTATTTGCTGGTTTAACAGATACACTGGGGGCTGTTGACCATGAGGTTTATGTTGTATGCATAGTCACTTTT